CTCAAGGCACTTAGCAATAACTCTGCTAAAGTATTTGTTTTTTCATTGCATTCCACCTGTAACAGAGTTCATAAGGAAGGCTGGGTATACCTTTGTGTGTGTGTGTGTGTGTGTGTGTGTGTGTGTGCTGGAATTGTTATGTAAAGCAGTTAATTGGAAATACATATGAGGCACACCCTTGTTTATCCACCACTGTGCACAGGATCGCCATGACTGAGGAGTGGACTCACTGGCAGTTAAGAACAACATAAATACAGCTTTAAAATAAAGTTTCAGACAAGTTTGAAAACAAAACTCATCTGGAAACCTCAAAAATAACTATCAACCCTGGCTAAGCAGGTTCCTTTATCCTCTGATCCCAAAGTTGTACTATTTTTCTTAACATGTATTCTAACTAAAGGTTATTATAAACACACTCAGTCCCTTGTCATTCGGCTCCATAAACCATAGCCATGAGGACATGACCACTTGTCTGTGTGCCTCATCTTTCCTCTACCCCAACTGCAGACTGTGAAAATGGAAAGGCCATGTGGAAACCATGGAAGGGTAGTTTGGGTGGCATTTTGATTTTAATTCTAGCAACCCTGCAAAAAATCCAAACACAAACCCATTGCCACTGAGTCGATTCCAACTCATGGCAACCCCGTGCGTTACATGTAGGAACTGTGCTCCACTGGGTTTGCTTAGCTGTAATCTTAATGAAACAGATGAACGAACCTCTTCTTCTGTTCTACTCTGGAGATGTTCTATTTGGCCTGCAGGCTTGTTATGCATTGGTCCTGACTTGCCTGCAGGGTTTGGCTTGGGTATCTGACTGCTGAAGAAGCTCTACAGTAGATGACACCATTAGACATCAAATTTTCCCAAAGTGACGTTTGCTGTTGTTGTTGTCAAGTGCAGTCGAGTTGGTTCCAATTCATAGTGACTCTGTATAGGGTTTTCAAGGGTTTGAACCACTAACCTTGCGGTTAGCAGTCCAGTGCTTATCTTACAGTGCCACACCAGGTTAGTAGTCTAACGTAAACCTTTTGCACCACTCAGGTACCTTAGTTTTTCCAAAGCCATCCTAAATAAATATGTTGTTGTTGTTAGGTGCCATCGAGTTGGTACCGACCCATAGTGACCTTTGCACAGCAGAAAGAAACACTGCCTGATCCTGGGCCAACCTCACTATCATTGCCACGCTTGAGTCCATCAATGCTGCCACTTGGCCAGTCCATCTCATTGGGGGTCTTCCTCTTTTTCTCTGACCCTCCACCTTACCAAACATGATATCCTTTTCCATCGACTGGTCCCTCCTGACATTATGTCCAAAGTACGAGACACGAAGTTTGGACATCTTGGCCTCCAAGGAGCACTCTGGCTGTACTTCTTCCAAAACGGATCTATTGGTTCTTTTGGCAGCCCATGGCACTTTCAATATTCTCCTCCAACACCGTAACTCAAAAGCATAAATATTTATTCCAAGTAAAAACTGTGTTTTGCAAATGTAGCTTCAAATTCCCTGGTTCTCTCCTCCCCGTTAGTCCATCACACTGCCCCCACTCTACGTTCTCTCTGACAGAGATTCTGGAGCCACCCCTCTTGGTAAGAGCAGCTGCACCCATCTTTCTCTGGTGCACCAGGTTCGGTCGGTGTCCAGCTTGGAAGGATGGCTGGTGGGTAAGAGGTTCTGCCCTGCCTTCCTCTCCAGGGGAAAAGAAATTCAAGGACAGTACTTACTACTCAAATTGTACACAGCCTGGATATCTGGATCCAATTCTCCCTAGCAAGTGACAGTATGCCAGCCACTTCCATAACTGCTATAAGGGAACTGCATAAAATCAGGCATCACTTTTTTTGACAGGGTGACAAGCTTCACCTGAAGCAATGCTGTCAGAACAACCCATCTGTATCCTGCATTTCATAATTCCGTGTTGGACAAGATTCCTGGATCAAGTACACTGGAAAAGCTCTACAGAGTAACAGCTGGAAGTATGAGAAGACACATGAAGGAAACTTTGACTTTTCCCTGGCTCCCAGCGGGCTGGTTCACCTCCAGCCACAAGTCCTCCAGAGTCATTGTGTCCCACCGGCTTACACGACACTGACAGGGAAGCTGCCATTTTCTAGTTTCCTACATGAGCAAACAGTAGTTAGAGTGCATATTAAATGTTTCCTTGGCAAGGCTATTCCTGATAAATAAAAAAGTCAAGGGGAGGGGCAGAATCAAGAAGACAGGCAGAACCCAAAGTCATCAAGAAGCTGAAACATGGAACACAACTGATTGTGTAAGCTAGACATACACAGGAAAGCATTTGGTGCTTAGATCTGAAGATGAAGAAATGTTATATTTAAATGCATTTGATAAGACAATCAATGATAAAGAGCCAAGCACTGTGTTATAACTAGCAAAAGACAAAGGGAATGTTTGCCTTGTCCAGAATTATGTTTAACAAGGAGAGTGTATTTATGAGTTGCCTGCGTGATTCAATGTTTTTAAAAAGGTGGAAGGAAGAAGTCATGGATGTAGACCCCAGTCAAGAACAATGTGTAATACATTCACTACGGCGGCACTGGTAGTTGAGTGCAGAATTTATGTCTTCCGTGTGGGAGACTTGGATTTAGTCCCCAGGCAGTGTACTTCACACATAAACACCACTCATCTGCCAGTGAAGGCTTACATTCTGCTATCATGTTGAACAGGTTTCAGCAGAGCTTTTAGATCAAGACAGACTAGGAAGAAAGGCCTGGAGATCTACTTCCAAAAAATCAGCCAATGAAAACCCTATTATCACAGTGGTGTAATCTGCACCCAATCATGGGGATAGTGCAGAATTGGTGGTGGTGGTTAAGTGCCATGGAGTCAGTTCTGACTCAAAGTGACCCTGTGTAGGGTTTCTGAGGCTGTAAATCTTTAGGGTAGTCGAAAGTCTCATTTTTCTCCCATGGACCAGCTGGTAGTTTTGAACTACTGACCTTGAGGTTAGCAGCCCAAATCGTAACCACTATGCTACAAGAGCTCCTTGGTGCAAAATTGGGCTATGTTTTATTCCATTGTACAAGGAGGCACCATGAGTCTGGGGCCAACTCAACAGCAGCCAACAACAATATTCTCAATGATACCTAGATGAAGAGCTGCATACTTTAACAACTAGATATGAGGAAAGCTTGCTGCAAAGCAAATCAGCAAGGAATGTAGTATATCCCCAGGCCATGAGCGTGTTATTTACCTTGACAAGAGCAATCAATCCCATGTAAACAGATGTTTCACAGTCCAAAATGAGAGACAAGCACCACCACGACCACCAAATTTTATTTTAAACTCGGGGGAGAAAAGAAAAGTTAAAAACAAGTGATGGCTGTAGGTGGAAGCCCGCCTGCAGCTAGCCAATGCATACAGAACTGGTCCAGTGAGCCCTGCCATGCCTGCTTACTCATCTCACAGAAAACAGGCGCTGGGGGTTAAGAACTATCATAGTTTAGTTGGGTATATGTTTCTGCTCTGCTGTTTTCTGTTTTGTTTTGTTGTATGTGTGTGTTTTTTTAGCATACTCTTGTTGGTTTGTTTCAACACAGCCTAAAAGTATGTAAAATTGTTCCTGGAATATGACATGACAGATGAAACCAGAACCAGAAGAGTAAGTGTTAAATGAGAAGGTGTAGGATGGAAAACGAGTAGAGGAAAACTAAGGGGGACTATGAAGTAAAAAATGTCCAATTCCAAGAAAATAAAGAATTTAAACTCTGTCCATTCTCTACCTGCTTGCCTGAACACACTAATCCAAACACATGATATTGAAAACCATGAGCTCACGGTTACTATTTGTTAGGAAGTCTAGACCAGCAGTGTGCAATGGGACATTCTGTGAAGACGGATTTACTCTCTCCCCAGTGCTATGCATGTTGGTACCACTAGCCACGCGTGACTATCAGCTGTGGAAAATATGATGAGCACAACACAAGAACTAAATTTTTTGTTTTTAACTTAAATAGCCACGTATGGCTACTGGGTACTAGACTGGGCAGCACGGGTCTAGACTATAGGATTGTGTTGAAACTTCACCAAGCTGTTCATTTCATTTATGTTTAACACATTTTGCATACTCGTTAACTTCTGAGGTAGAGCAAGCAGGGTCTGAAGGAGAAAAGGCAGGCTAACCACTGGACTGGGGACTAAGCAAAGGAAAGAGAGACTCACAGTCAAAGACAAAGGGAAGGGAGTCCATTCAGAAAAGACACAACTTATGTGGCTCTCTGCTCTCGGGTTAGACTCGGGCTCGATGTGCTGTTATTGTTAAGTGCTGTCAAGTTGGTTCCGACTCACTGTGACCCTGGATAAGGTTTCCAAGGGGCGATTGATGGGCTTGGACTGCCGACCTGGTGGTTAGCAGTCCAGTGTTTATCCTACAACGCCACACCAGGGCTCCAGGCTACACGTGCAGAACCACAATGTTTACAATGTTGTAACTGTGGCCACTCCGTAGTCTACTCATTTTTAAAGCATTAAAGATCACAAGATTGTTCAATAGTTGGCCTCCAAATCTCACTCTGAGAAAATCCGATGTCTAGTGGGATCCCCTATTTTAATTTCTTCGACATTCAGATACCCAAACTCAATCCATTGCCAATAAGTAAATTCCAACTCAAAGCGGCCATGTAGGGTAGAGTAGAACTCCTCCAGAGGGTCTCCAAGACTGTCAATCTTTAGGGGAACAGACAGTTTCGTCTTTCTCCCTCAAAGCAACTGCTGGGTTTGAACCGCTGACCTTTTGGTTAGTAGCCCAACACTTAACCCACTGTGCCACTAGCATTTCTTCAGCATTCAGGTAGCACCTATAAATAGAACTGAGGTAAATAACAATGTTAACCAAATGGAGAGGTTCATGTTTTTTAAAGGACTGTATAACAGTCCTACAAACATTTGGTTTGTAGCCTCCCTGGCAGACAGGTAAGCAAAAGGTCAAGATCCTAGAAAACAGTGTCAACAAGAAAGAGAAGATTGTGGCACCTGCCCATACCTCGGCTTCCTGCAGGGTTCCGCGGCTGAGGCACACCATGTCAGGGCAAGTGATGGGAGAGCCACATCCTTCTCGGATTGCCAGCTGCATATACTGTTTCAGGCACTAGGAGAAAGCAGACAGACCATTACCCACCATACTACAGCAGCAGAAGGGTTCCCCAAACAGTACTGCACACAGCCTCTTCTTCCTTAATTGGCAGTTCTGGGGCTCTTGAACTCTGGAAACATAAGTTATCACAAGTGTGAATACTAAGAGCCATCACTTTGGAAAGAATGCAGAGACAGGCGATTAATTATGTATGACTTCATCCTAGGAGTATTGAGTTTATTCAAAACAGTTAGTCAGATTCTTGCGTGCTAACACATTCTCTCCACCTTAGATGAGGAAAAAAAAAAACACACTTTCATACTAACGATAAAGGGTTTCTTTTAGTTTAAAAAAAAAAAAAAAATCCCTAGGTGACTTTCCAATTCCAGTTTCACCTCAAAGTTTGCCTGAAAGTTCTTTCAAAGCTAGCCAAAACAGAATTGAAGTAAGAATAAAACAATGATTTATCTAAGAATGCTTTAAAAGAAAAAAAACTTATTATGAAGTAGGTGAAGGTATATGAAGTAAATCAGTTTTCCATTCAACAGATCATAAACATTTTGTTTCAGGTCATTAATTGCAGTCCCCAATGTAATATCTATTATCTCACTTCCTCCCTGGGTTTCCTGTTTCCATTCCTCCTTTCCCTTCTGAACTCTGTCCTTGGATAAATGCTGCCTTTTCGATCTCTTATTCTATGCTATACATTCCTCCCCAGTGTTGTTGCCTTTATAAACTTGTCTATTGCTTGGCTGGACTCATGCATGTGAAAGTTGGACCGTGATTAAGGAAGACAATAGAAGAATCGATGCATTTGAGTTATAGTGTTGGAGAAAAATATAAAAAGTACCACGGAATGCTAGAAGAACAAACAAATCCGTGTTGGAGAAAATACAACCAGAATGCTCCTAGGAAGCCAGGATGGCCAGATTTCATCTCTCATACTTCAAACATATTGCCAGGAGGGACCCGTCTCTGGAGAAGGACATCATGCTAGGTAAAATGGAGGGACAGCAAAAAAGAGGAAGCCCACCCCAACAAGATGGATTGGCACAGTGGCAGTCCAATGGGCTCAAGCTTTACAACAATTGTGAGGATGGCATGAGACCAGGGAGTGTTTCGTTCTGTTGTGCAGAAGGTTGCTGTGAGTCGTAACCTACTCAACGGTACCTAACAACAACAAAGCAACAACTGTTTGACTAAAAACTGAGCCATGTGAGTAAGTCCATTTCCAGATCTGAAGGGTGAATAAGAGCAATAGTCTAGGGTTTCCATCAGTCCCTGTCTGGCTAGTAACCTTGTCTTTTTTATGATTTTGAGTTTTTTCACATTTTTCTCCTACTTTATCTGGGACCTTCTAATGTAATCGCTTTTAGAGCAAAACTGATATTACAGAAACCTCATCTTTCCACAGGATAGGAAAACTGACCAACTCCCTTAATACGGTTACAGACACCTTATTTATATGGTCCCACCCAATCATTTGGTGAGAGCTACAAGGCATGGCAATAAAGGTCATAGAAAAGCAATCCACTGCACTAGAGAGAAAAAGAAACCCAGAGAGGGGAAGCAGAAGACTACCAAGGACAAACTTGATCTATTCATTTCCTTTTGTTGGTGGAACTTACAGCCTATGGAGATGTGAATCTGGTTCACAAAGCAAGAAAGGAGCTGATAATAGCATGTTGTTGTCATTGTTGTTCTTGTTGTTAGGTGTTCACCAAGTTGGTTTTGACCCATAGCAACCCTATTTACAACAGAACGAAACACCACCCAGTCCTGCGTCACCCTCACAACTGCTGCTACACTTGAGTCCACTGCCGCTGCTCACTGGTCTTGAGGCCACTGCTCTTTCTCGCTGACACTCCACTTTACTAAGCATCATGCCCTTCTCTAGGGACTGGTCTCTCCTGATATTATGTCCGAATATCATGAAGCTCTCTAACTCTTCCCTTTGTCCCTGAAATCTACTCCAAATGCCCCAAAATAAACTGGAGGCAGGAGTTCTAGCAGATACGGAACTAAGAAATCCAAAAGTTGGCTCCTCAGATTATAGATCTTTTCATAATGGATGATCTCCTTTCTATCTACATGATAAAGAAAAGTCAGACTCAAATGTGGGAGAAGCAGATGCTGTCAGGTGGACGGTTTCATGACGATCCACTCACTCCCAGAATACCAACCAATGACTCTTACAAGGGGATGCCGATTTAATAACTGGGTTTGCATTCTCACTTTACAAATTCATGGATCAACTGCTAAAAAAAACGACATTGTGGTGGTTCCCATAAGGGAAAAGGAAACTAACGTTATTGAACTGTGTATGTGAATATGGTTGAAATGGCAAATG